ATCCCAAATGTTCAATAAACTTACATTATTTAATAATACAGAATGGATTCCTTTGTCCAAAAGAAAGAGACCCTTCTAGGATATTTTTTAAATTATTTATTTATTTTAATTTTTTTTTTTTTTAATTTGACCAAAGAGACAGAGAGAAAGAGCAAAAGAAATGTGAGAAAGCAAGCCACCAGGATTGGGACTTAAACCACTGTCGACTGTGTGGGAGTCGAGCACCTTAACCTCCATACCACCTGCCAGACCGGGATATTTTTATTTTTAAAAGAAATTAAAGAAGTCAATGCCTAATTCCTAGAAAGGACACTGCATGTTGGTTTGGGAACATGAAGATGTTTGAAACAAAAAGGGTGCCGTTGGGAGTTCTGCCAACAGTTACTCTTCCGTTATGTAAAGCCAGCCCTTGGTTCCAGAGCAGCCAGATTTTCTTTAAGATCTTGTAATCTAGTCATCTCCTTCAGATGATATTTATTCAGTTTATTATGACCTTGGTATTTAATTCGGAAGCTTTAATGATCCTCTGAGGAACTAGAATTGCAAAAAGGATTGAATCTCATATGGTATTCATATCCAAACTTCTTTTAAAAACTAGCCCTTCACATCTGTTTTCACCTCTATGCATATGAAAAAGCCAGAAAATCTATTTATATAATACATTATGTTAAAGAAAAATTATTCATGACACTTGTTGAAGATGGTGAGGAACACTCCATTCAAGAAGGACCACTGCGATGGGGCTTTTGCAGTAGGGGGAGAGCCTTCTCAGGCTCAGCTTCACATACAATAAGGACGAATAGGGATTCATAGCCAAGAAGCAGAGTGGGTGGTTTGTGGACAGAAAATGAGTAAGAGGAAACATCAAAGCCAGGGGGATTCTTGCTAGACTGACTCAACAGGATACTTGGTGGGGGCAGGTGAATACTAGGAAAACCGAACTGTTTTTCTCTTTGCATTCTCTCAATACTCAGTATTTCACATCTGCCCCCAGATGTGGCTTCTTTTCCCCCCACACTGACCAGTTCTGACATCAGTTCAATTCTGACACCTACTGGAGTTAATGCCCATAGGTTAAGGGCTCAGTCCTACGAAACTGTCCTCCACCTCAGATGCCAATCACAATCAGGATGTCCACAACATCTGTCCAATTTGGCCCCACATCACAATTTAACTTTTTCTTGGGTTAAAGTATTTGCTAGAGTGCTAGAGTTTAGAGAACTTAGAAAAGTACCTTACTTACTATTACTCATTTATTATAAAATGATGTAACTCAGGAACAGCCAGATGCAAGAAATGTCCAGAGACGGGCATGGAGGAAGAGTGTGGAGTACCCAGGCCCTCAGGGCATACCACCCTCCACATGTTCAGCAACATGGAAGCATCTAGAACCCCATAGTTCAGGGGTTTTTATAGAGGCTTCATCATGACTCAGACACCACCATCTGCAATCCTTTATTTCTAGGTCTAACTCTGCCCTGCATATCCAGAACATTCTTAAACACTCACAGTCCTACAGATTTTTTGTTCTCTCCCATCTTCTCGCTTCAGCCTTGAGGGTTCCCAAGCTGTTCTAAGAACTTGGGAGTAGGTGTGAGGGAAGGGCGGGCTCAAGTAAAAACTCCCGCCAGAAGCAGGAGCAGAAGCCTGTCAAGGGGGAGAGGAGTGTTTACAGAGAGGAAGTGGCTGGGAGAGTATTTCTGGACTTGACCTCATCTGAAACCTCATGTGTGCTCCGGTCACACCCTCTCTTTGAAGCTTCCAAAGAATAAAACACTGCTAGCTTCTGTTTATGGGAGTGGGACAGTGAGCAAAATGGTGACCTCCCCACCATCTGGAATAAGCCTAAAATCATTACAGACAGGGTCATCTTGCCTCCTAGCTTGAACAGGGGCGTCAGTATGGGTCTTGGAGGAAAGCACAAGTCTGCCTGGAGTTGTCAGCGCGTTAGTTTGATTTGCCTCTTCGCCTGAGCTCGGAGTGATGTTTTATCAACCTCTCTTTTGTCTTGTGCTGACTTCAGGAAGGAGGCATTCACGGAAGCCCGGGGCGCCAGAAGAGGAGTTAAAAAAGTCATGGTTATTGTGACCGATGGAGAGTCCCATGACAACCACCAACTGAACAAGGTCATCCAGGACTGTGAAGAGGAGAACATCCAGCGATTTTCCATAGCAGTAAGTACATTGCTAAAGACGGTTTTCAGACCCTCATGTGGAAGGAAGAGCTGCGTGTGCATTGTGGTAGTTTTATGGAAGTTGCGTAAGCAAGATTAGAAAGGAAAAGCTTCTATTTAAAGGTAGATTTGCGAGGGCAGATGGGTACAGCTCTCTTCTGTTTCCTCAGTACCCAGCACAGTGCCAGGCCAGACACTCGACAATCAGTGAAAGAAAGAGAGGAAGAAAATAGGAGAGAAGAAATGAGGAAGAAGGAAAAAGAAAACATAAGAGGAAGGAAAAGAAGGTGAGGAAAAGAGAGAGAGAGACATAGGGAGGGGAAGGAGAAGGAAGAGAGAGGTGGGAAGGTGGAAAGGAAGATGGAGGGAAACAGGAAAGGGAGGGTAGGAAAGAGGGAAGGATAGAGTGAAAGAAGAAGAAAAGAAATAGAAGAATAAAAAAAAGAAACTGAAGGCAATCTGTCAATACATTGCCTGATCATCAAAAATATTTGTCTGCATTTGGGAGGCTGGATCAGAACATGACTCACGATAACTGTAAAAAGTCAACAGTGCTATTTCTGCGCCCATAGCCCTTGGGCAGTCTACCCAGGGACTGATGATGTTTAGGTTATGACATTTTCCAGAGGCGAGGCATAGAAAGGTATAAGAGGATGGACAGAGAACACGCATTTAGAGCCAGATAGACCTTTGTTCTAATTCTGTCCTTGTTATGTAATGGCTCTGTGACAAGCAGACAAATGACTTAATACTCAGCTTCAGCTTCTTTCTCTGTAAGATAGGCTAATGTTTTCCTCTCTCTTTCTCTCTCTCTTTCTCTCTCTTTCTCTCTTTCTCTCCCAGAGAATAAGTCTGTGAAATTTAAAAACATCTAGCACAGTTAGCAAGCTAGGAACTCTAAGCATTATTTTTCAAATGGGCCCTTGAATTGGCAGCCATGAAATAAAAGCACAGTGTTTTGGAGCTAGATGTATCTTAGAAATAAAGTATGTGGGCCCCCCCCCCTTGCTCAGCAACCTTCAGAGAATCTCTCACATACCAGAATCAGCAGCTGTGTCAAGTCTTTTTTTAAGTCCTCTGCTCTCAATTCCATAATATGTGGTTTCACCCTGAGGACAGCCAAGTCTTCTCCTTCTAACTTAATTTTTATAAAAACAAATCAGGTGGACCAGCAGATGGCATAATGGTTACATCACTGGACTTCCATGTCATCCATCACAGTTTGAGTCCCAGACCCGGAGGCTTAAAACTCACGTGGGGCGCATGTGCGTGTGTGTCCAAAGTCCAGAGAAGATGATGGTGGAGAAGGGACTGCAGCATGGGCCATCCCTCCCCCCTACCCCGTGGGGAGTGATTTCTTGCTTTCTATCTCTCTGTCTTTCTCTAAAAAAAAAAAAAAAAAAAAAAAAAGAAAGAAAGAAATCAGAGGGAAAATTCTGAACATGATGGAGATGTGTTTTGGCAGGGAAATAATGCCTAAAAACATTATTAATGATACAAATTCCCTGTGATGAAACTGTGAACATTGTTCTATTCATTCAGATTTAGTAAGGATCCTGAACTGGTTTTGAGTTCTTCATTTCATGCTTTCTTTTTTTCTGGCAGGGTGTTAGATGTTACTTGCAGAGGCCATTTTATATTCAGATTCTAATTTTGGTTGGTAACAGTTGTGAGGTGTGTAGCACCAGAGTACTGAAATTAAAATCAGCGATGTTGGAAAGGGCCTTAGAATTTCATTTGTTTTTCACACAAAAGACACTGTGCAATATGTAAATTAATTGTACGCTTGACACATTTGCCTCAAGGAAGTTTTGATGTGAATGTCTATTTCATGTAAACATATATTAGCAGAATACCAGAAACTTGGGCTTGACATGTTTGTATTGAAGAAAAGAGGAGAAATTTAGAAATGTTGTTTCTTAATCCCTTGTATCTATAGTAAATGTTTCTATGACCTACTACCTAGCCCCTTTGGTGAAGGATCAAAATCTATTTATCTCTAGTTTCAGTTTTATTCTGTGACACAAAATAGTTTGAAACTGTGTACAAGTCACATTCATTCCTTGACTTTCTTTGCTCTTACATTTTCTTCTAAATATATATTCTGATATTGTGTTTATACATTTTACTTTTATTCTTTAAGTATGTCATTTGGACATTTTTCCAGTTGAATTATATTCACTCAGATCTGTGTTGTCATATCTACGGCTAAATGTCTGATGGCATTCATATCCCAGCTAAGAACCTCAGTCATGCATGATCCTAAAATGATTACTTTTTTATATGCATTTTAAATTGCACCAATTTATAAATGAAATGGAAGTTAATTCCAATAGTGAATCTAGAATATGCAAAATAGGAACCAAGGAGGAAAGACAGTCATTTTTCAGCCCAAGATACCATATAATCTATTGGATAAATTGTACAAAGCAGTGGGATCTCAGAAGGCTTCATGTGATGCATAATTTGTGTGAATCTAAAAGAAATCCATTGGTAGCAAAAACAACAGCGTGCTCAGAGAGGGATACCACCTATGTAATGATTCCTATGGAGCATGGAGACTCTCTCTCCTGCTTTTTCCAGGCTTATGCTGGGCATGCATGTCCTAAATGTGGTGAGATAAGCAATTGTAAGAGCATCTTAATCTTGTGTTGAAGTACGAGAGAGGATTTATTCAGTTTAGTAAGAGCAGTGACCACTGAGTCTCCCTTCCCTGTCTGACCATTCTCTACTATCTTTTCCATGAATCTCTTCTCCTACCTCTTAGCTAAAGTGGAGAAAAGTGCCAGTGGGTCTCCGGTTGTTGACAGTTCCCTGAGGTTTGGCACTTGTTTTTCGGCAAAGACATGGAAGCTGAATATTTGTTCTCTGGTGCAATCTGTAAGCTCCTGGTGTTGCCTTTCTACCTAAAAGTGTGGCCATCCCAGTGGAATTATAAGTACAAAAGAAGTCAGAAAGCTACCCAAATGGTGTATAGATTACCTGAGATTAGATCCAGTTTTCTTTAACAGCATGCTTCCTCAAAGCAGTTCAAAGCTCTTCACAGAGATTAGCACATGTAATGGTGAAAGAGCTAAGAAAAAAGAAGCAAGGCACCAAGTGACCTGCTGGTTCCTAGCACTCAGAAGCGACAGGTTAATTTGAAGTCTTCTAGTGTCAAGAAGTGTAGTATTTCCTCTGGGCTAGTTCCTGATGTTTCCCAGGGAAAGGGATAAGGATATTATTCAAGCTTGGGGAAAAAAAAGAGTAAATCCACCACCACCTTCCTTCTCTCCAGGAAGGAACATTAGAAAACTGCTGCAAGTCTGCCTGACTAGAGGGTGTATGATTCATTTTCTCACATTAAGTGAAGCTGCTTCAGGAATCAAGGACAAAAGGCTAAATATTTTTGGGGGGGAGAGATTTTTTTTTTGCACTCGCCAGACAGACAGAGAGAGACAGGGAGACAGAAAGCAAGAAATCACCCCCAGGGGGGGATGGCCACGCCGCAATCCCTTCTCATCCATTCTCCTCTCAGGATCTTGGGCAAGCACGCACATGCGCCCAGCATGAGTTTAAGCCACCGGGTCCAGGACTCGAACTGCTGTCAACTATGTGGGAGTCCAGTGACACAGCCATAACACTAACTGTCCCAAAAGGCTAAATATTTATGAAACAGGAATCATGAACAAAAACAAACAATAACAAAAAACAACTATCTATCTATCTATCTCTCTATATATACACATACATATATCATAATATCACCATACCACCACACACCAATATAATTGTTAAAACTAGAACAAGTGAACACAGAAAAAAAACTAAAAATATCAAGTGTTGACAAAAATGCAGATCAACTAGGTTGCACATACATTGCTGATAGGAGTGGAAAAATAGCCAAATGGAACAATTAGTCTGGAAAGAAGTGTGGCAGTTTCTTATAAAGTATAATATTCCGTAATATATATGACCCAGAAGTCCCACTTCTAGATAGAAATCTATATGTCCAGACAAGAACCTATGTGCAGATATTTATAGCACCTTTATTTACATTTTGAATCTAAATGTTCTCAATGAATAACCACGGTGCATCAATACTGACTCCTACTCAGACATAAAAGGGACTGAACTACTGATACGACACGCAGCAACATGGATGACCCTCAAAATTATTATATAAAGTAGAAGAAGCCACACACACAAAGCTTCATAAAATTTGACTCATTATGACATTTTGGTACAACAGCTATTGGGTTGTTGGAAAAGTCGTGCATATTTTTCTATGCAGACTTGACAACCCAATAGAAAGAGAAAATAGACTAGGAGTTGTCAGGGGTGATAGAGAAGGGGGAGGGGTTGGCTATGAAGGCGTAAGAGGGTATTTGGGGGGAGTGATAGAGATGTCTGCACCTCAATGTGACATCCGTATTGGTTTGTTTTAACTCATAGATTTAGGAGCCAATAGATGGCATAGCAGTTAAATTGCTGGACCTCCAAAAAGCCAACTGTGGTTCAAGTCCTGGGTCCGGTGACTTGAAAATCATGTGGAGTGCCTGTGCGTGTGTGCCCAAGATCCTGAGAGGGAAATGAAGGGGGAAGGGATTGTGGCATGGTCATCTCCCCTGGGTGGTGGTGGTGGGGGGTGATCTCTCACTTTCCCTCACTGTCTCTGTCTCTCTCTCTCTTTCTCTGGCAAGTGCACACACCCTACGGCAAGAACCTCTTAAACAAAACAAACAAAACCTCATAGATTTATACAAGGGTACTTCAAAAACCTTATAGAAAACTGAATTAAGGTACAACTGCCTTTTGTTGGAAACAATTTTGAAATCCATGCATACTTTCTTCATAATACACATTTTTCATGAATGTTTTTATGGCTCCTCATGCATCTAAAATATCTAAAAAGGGTGAATTATATAATTTGTATATGTTTGAGAAAACTTGCTCGGACATCTAAGTAATTGTAATTAACTTTAACAGGTAATGCCTACCTCTTCCTCCTGTCTATAAAAAAGAACACACCTGTCTTCAGCATTTTGTTTTAAACAAGAATGTCCCAATTGCTTATTATTTAGATTGTCAGTTTAGATTACTACTTAGTTCAATATCTATTTTAAAATTGCATGTGTTAGACTGTCCCTTGTTAAGGTTTTCAGGAAGAGCTGCCCAATCAGCAGCAAATGGTGATGTCACCATCTGGAATAACATCAGAGACATCAGAAGCTATGACGGTACTTTTGAACTGTCAGGTCTCAAAGATACAGTGTTAATAAACGGCGACACCAGGATGCCAGGGGAAAAATGTTCACACACTTACATGATTGTCCTTTATATTTTCCTGTACCAATTACAGTGCTTATATAATATTGGGTTGTCGAGAAAGCGATGAGGTATTTTTTTCTATGCAAATATGCATCATGACTTTTGTGACGACCCAGTAGTTAATATGAGGAGATCTACATGTTCTGAAAATTACTCTCCCACGAATACAAAAGTACATTAACACTGCATTATGCTAAGGTACTCCTCACTGTCTCATATAGCATTTCACTGAAAAATGTTTGTGATCCTTATTTAGCACGTAGAATTTAAAATATACTCTTGTCATTTTTGTTATGTCTTAGATTCTTGGCAGCTATAACCGAGGAAATTTAAGCGCTGAAAAATTTGTGGAGGAAATAAAATCAATTGCAAGTACACCCACTGAAAAGCATTTCTTCAATGTTTCGGATGAATTGGCTCTTGTCACAATTGTTAAAGCTCTGGGAGAAAGAATATTTGCCCTGGAAGGTATGGCTGTTTCTCTCTATATGTTCTCTCTATATTCAAACGCAATGCCATGGGCTTTTGATACTTATTCTTAGCACATCACTACCACAACTTCGCTGTGTACAAGGGTCAGCCTGGAGCAATGCTCTTTTATATAAGTCTGCTGTTGACGTGGCTATTTCACATTATACTGTGTCTGCTGGAAGCTCTTTTGTCTCAGAAGTATATGTCTTCCATAAATGAGAAAGAGAGAGAGAGAGAGAACCCTCAAAATGGTCTTGATGTTGTGATCCACCCCCAGCCTTCAGCTGGTCCCAGATCATAGACACACATTCTGTGTATCAGAAAGGTCTCCCTACCTGAACTGGAAATCCTCACCTATGGTGTAGACTTGCAGAGGGTCAATTTTTACTGCTGCACCACCATCTGATTTGGGAGGCTCTCTCTGTAAGGCCATGACAGTGCTGATATAAGAGCCAATGAAGGGGACCAGCAGTTGGCATAATGGCTATGTCGCCGGACTCCCATGTAGTCGACCTTGGTTTGGGTCCTGAACCTGGTGGCTTAAACTCAGACCGGGCGCATGTCTATGCATGCCCAATATCCAGGAGGAGAATGGAAGAGAAGGAATTGCGGCATGGCCATCTGCCCGGGGGGGTGATTTCTCACTTTCTTTCTCTCTCTCTCTCTCTCTCTCTCTCTCTCTCTCTCTGTCTGTCTTTCTGGCAAGCACATGAAACCTATAGCAAAAAACTCTCCACACACTAAATAAATAAATGAATGATGAATGAATGAATGAGCCAATGTAGACAGAGGTCAATGTGGACCTACAAGAACAAAAATGTCTCCATTTGTTTTATTCTTTTTATGACATAGAATAAGGATTAATACTTGCTCAAGTTTTGGGTCTTTAGTTTCTTTATTTTGGGTTTCTATTAGAGCGTTCTTATCTAATAACTTTTTTTGTTCACTTATTTTCTCCATAGTTTGCTCCTTGCTCTTTTTAAGGGGCTTCACGGCACCCTACCTCAAGGCTCATGGTGGTGGAATTTTCATTTGCTATCTTAGTCCTAGTCATGATACTTTGTAGATTTTCCCGTGAGATTTTAGTGGTGACTGGCTGCTGAGGATGATAAGTATGGTATTCCCTTCTCCACGTTATTGTTACTTCTGCATCTTAAAAATAGAAGTTTCAAAGCACTATCTTGGGCCAGCCCCATTGCGCAGCAGTTAAGTGCTGTGTAGAGGGAACTGGAATCCACATGGCTGACTCTGGTTTGAAACAAAATATGCTAGGCACATGCACGTGTGTCTAGAATCCTGACGGGATGGAGAAATGGAAGAAAAAAGGATTGCGGTGTGACCAGGCCCCACTAGGGGAGTGCTTTTTGTTTCTCTTTTTTTTTTTTCTTTCTCTCTCATGCTCATACCTGTACTCAAAGAGTACTTTCTCATTCTCCCTGATGACCTGATAATAGGAAACAAGTAAAATGGGAAAGAGGTATTACTGAAAAAAAAAGGTGAACTATTTTGATCAAGCATCAAGAGGCTAAGAAAATGAACAGAAGTGACTAACAATATTAAAATGTATAGAAAAGAAAATAATTTTGAATATTTTTCACACTTTGAATGACTCATGGTAATACTTCCTGTTTTGCAACTCAATGCAGACACATATGTACCTGTAAAAATAAAACAAAATTTCACAAAATGATTCTTATTAAATGTAGCGTAGTATGATAGTTTCTTATCTGTTCCATTTTACACTCTTCTGTGAAAGAGTACTGTTTGTACCCATGTCTATCACGTAGCAAGTTTAAGTTTTATTTCATAAATGAGAGAGCATGAGTGTGCATGTGAATGACAGAGTGCACTGCATGTACCCAGCATGTTTTCAGGTTGACTTGGGGTATGACCCTGCAGTCAGCCACGTGGTTTCCAGCACTGCAGCTCAGTGTACTGTCCCCTGCACCACAGGCTGGCCTACTTAGCAAGTCTGATTTGGGGATGAGGGGAATCTACAACCCAGCCAGACTGACTTTCTCTGGCTGTCCTCTGCCCTTGCTCTTTTTTCCCCTGTGCCTTGAGAAATTTGACACTCGAATTGTTTATCAGTCTGAAATTGCAGCAGCTTCTGAAGAACTCAGCTGTCCTGCCGTCTGTGTGAGGTCATTTTTATGTATTTTTGGTCTCTCAACAGCTATCGTGGTGTCATTAACCATCAGGCCAGATCGTGAGCTTGGCTGGCCTTAAGGAAAATGTACGAGGTCTTCCAAGTCATTGTACATGTCTAACCTTTTAATAACAGGGGCCAAGATATGATAGAAACAATCTGTAAAGATAATTTGAAAGAAAAAATGTTTAGTTATGTTAGATAGTTAAATGTAATACAGTGTTATTTTGCAAACTTATTTTAGGTAGGCAAGTAAATATAACCTAATATTGGCAGAAATGAGGCCCGTATCAGCTGCAGGAAAGAGGAGGCTAAATTTGCCTAAAGAGACAGTTTTAGATGGTTTCTCACCTAATTTGACCATGGTTTAAAAGTTACACTTGCGGGGGTGGGGAACAAGTGGCGTAGTGGTTCCGGTGCTGGACTCCCATGTATCCAACCATGGCTTGAGTCCCAGACCTAGTGGCTTGAAACTCATGCTAGGTGTTTGTGCGTGCGTGCTCAAGATCCCTAGAGGAGTATGGAGGAGGTGAGATTGCAGCATGGCCATCCCCACTATGGGGTGATTTCTCACTTTCTGCTTCTCTGTCTCTCTGACAAGCACATGTGCCCTACAGCAAAAATCTAAAAAAAAAAGTGCCTAAACATCCCAAGAAAGTTATTATATTTATAAACAAAAGTTTTTTTTTAAAAATAAGAGACATCACAGATTAACAATGTCTTTCACATCTTTGTTGTTGCTGTTTCAAAGCTGAACAAAAGCAGTGCATTGTCTAGATAATTTCTGGTTTTTCATCATGCAATCTAAAAAGACTTTATCCCCTTATTGCTTGAGAAATCTATCTATTTCCTGTCAGTATTTATCTTTAGATGATAAATAGTTGTACTTATGAAAGTCCTATGGAATTTGCCACCTAGTGAGGAAAGCATGCCAAGGACTTGCCTAAAAGGATTTTTAAAATGGTCTAATGTTTCTCTTTCTCATCAGACCTTGGGAGAAATGCTGACACGCCTAACCAGAGGCCGTGCAGTGGTTAGAGAGGTTAGACCAACACCCATGAACAGTCCAGGGAGGAACTGACAGCAAGCAGCTCGGGACACACAAGGGCTCTGGCCAGGATGCCAGTGCAGCTGGCAGAAGGTCGCATAGTTCACTTCTCTCCGTTCTCAGCTGACGGCAGGACAGCACCACAAGCATTGGCAACATGCAGGTCTCTGCAGCTGCATTCTTATGACTGTTCTTGCAAAGAGAAGTGAGAAAGCATCCTCACACATTGTAGACGCACAACACATGTTTAAAGTGCATGTCAGGGGCCAACATATGGTGTAGTGGTTAAGGTGCTCAGTCCTACATGGCCAATTTTGTGATTCAAGTCCCAAACCTGGTGGCTTGAAAAACATAACAGGTGCATGTGTGTGTGTCTAAAATCCTGAGAGGAGAATGGAGGAAAAGAAATTGCAGAGTGGCTATACTTCCTGGGGGAGGATTTCTCACTTCCCCTCTCTCTCAACCTCTCTCCAGTGAGTCACACACCTTATAGCAACTATATATATATATATATATAAATATATTAAAGTGCATGTTAAGGGACGAGGTGGTGGTGTAATGGTCAAGGCACTCAACTCCCACATGGCCAACCACAGTTAGAGTCTGGGATTGGCGACTTGAAACTCACGCTGGGCACAAGTGCATGCGTCCCTAAAATCCCAAGAGGAGAATGGAGAAGAAGAGATTGCAACCTGCTCATTCCTACTGGGGTGTGTGGAGGGGTGATTCTCACTTTCTCTGTCTCTGTCTTTCTCTGTGTCTCTGGTGAACATGCATGTCCTATAGCAGAATTCTCTTTTAAAAAAAATGCATGTCAATCCCCTAAATTAGAGACCAGTTTCTATGAGAGATGAAAATGATACAGTCTAATTCTTGATTGATTGATTGACTCATCTAATCTAATCCTATAAAAAAGCAATTACTAATGTATTTGTTTACAATTTTCTGCTACTAAATATCTAGTAAATTAGTTTTATTTCACAAATTTGATTATTTTCATGCCTCAGTGAAAGGTCAGGCTGACTTTCTCAAAATTATGTGCTAATTTTAACTTATCTCTGAGGTCTAATAAATCAGTAACTCCATACTGGAGGAAAATAAATCAACATTCCTTCCATTCCCTCTGGAAATTGTGGCTTTGTATTTATGAATATTTTGAGAAGAACTTGAAAGTAGCACACGTCCATAAAATTCTCTGGATTATTTTGCCTTGTACTAAAGTACTTTAAAGAGTGTATAGAATCCTTTAAAAATATGGGGTTGAGTGGCAGGTGGCCTGGAGCCCTTTGAAGAAGTACCTCCTGATCTGTGAGTTGATACCCGCACAATGACAGCAAATGCTAACTGGAATCCCTAAACCATTTATCAAACATGGGATTCTGAGAGAATCTATGACCCAAAATGTGAGTAGACTGGTGGCGTGCACCAATCTCTTTAATTCTGTGAATGAAATGTTTCAGCCCTGTAACACACTGAATGAGTTGAGCCTAAAGTCTCAGCGGGGTTTCCAGGGCATGAGGATGAGAACAAGGTTTCTGACTATGGCATTTTCCAGCTTGAACCAGGTGACTTCAAAGCACCATAGGGAGCTGCAAGCAGGTTTCAGGGTAATAACGGACATTTCTCAACTCCTGCAGCAACATGGGGAAGCTGAAGAGCGAGGTTCTGGCTCTTCCTCTATCCTCCTGTGTCTTCTTCCCTGCTCTACCTAGGACTGCTGGGTTCAGAATTGTGGCTGATAGTGCCCCAAGGCATTATAAGTTGTGCGTGGAGAGAACACGGTCTCTACCAGGTCTCTACGTCCTGCAAGTCAGCAGTGCACTAAAACACGCCATTCGTTGTTTACTGTGCTGTTTTCTCATGTTTCAGCTACAGCCGACCAGTCAGCAGCTTCGTTTGAAATGGAAATGTCTCAGACGGGATTCAGTGCTCATTACTCACAGGTACAACAACCACCTGGTTCAAAAAGAACTCTCTTTCTGTAAGATTTCCTCCCACAAAACCAAGACCCAGCCATCGGCATTACTCATGCAACTTGCAGTTCAAGGCCGGAGCAGTTTGGCAGGCCATCGTGAGGTTTTCTAATTCTGTTTTCAAAATGGCATTTGACAAGTGCCTTAGTAAGACACCTGGGTGTTGAACACCGCTCACTACATCATGCTGAAAATTGTGAATCAGATAGTTTGAGTTCTACCTTTTGTAATTATGCAACTAGATAAATGAAATACCTCATTTACTATGTGTGTTAAAGAGATGGAGTGCATCTTTTTCTCAGTGGAAGGTATTCAAGGGTCTTGCAAAAGTTCCATGTTTAAGACCTAGGGCTTTTGGCACCCAGAATAAATCAGAAGGCAAGATTATAAAATATATATGTAGTTGATGAAAGAAAAGACATAATTTTTGTAAAAAAAAAAATAACATTTCACTGTGCAATTGTACTGTAGAACCTTGGGCAGTTGCTTACTAGTCCTCAGTTTCCTCTTCTGTGAAATGGGGATGGAGGGACCAGCAATTGGCATAATGGTTACGTCGCTGGACTCCCATGTAGTCGACTGTGGTTCGAGTCCCAGACCCAGTGGCTTAAACTCAAGCTGGGCGTGTGTGCGTGCGTGCCCAAGATCCTGAGAGGAGAATGGAGGAGAAGGGATCATGGCATGGCCATCCTCCTGGGGGGTGATTTCTTGCTTTCTGTTTCTCTGTCTCTCTCTGTCTCTCTGGTGAGTGCACGCACCCTATAGCAAAAACCCCTCCCAAAAAAAAGAAATGGGAATGGTCATAATGACACTTAGTTCAGTGGGTTATTGTGAGGATGATATGAGCTACATTGTGAGGGTTGTATGCAAAGCACTTTGAACAGGGCCCATCCCATTGTTAATGTTATTTAAGCTTGCTCTTTCTATTTTGACGAAATGTGATTGTTTTGTCTATCTGCATGCAAGGACTGGGTCATGCTTGGAGCAGTCGGAGCCTATGATTGGAATGGAACGGTCGTCATGCAGAAGGCTGATCAAATTATTATTCCCGAGAACACCACCTTTAAAGTTGAGTCTACCACGAAGAATGAACCTCTTGCTTCTTACTTAGGTAAAGTGTGGATGTAATTAATAGAAAGGTTTTTTTTTCATTTTTGTCATTATTAGCTTATATTTCTTTTTTTAAATTATTTTATTTAATCTTGTTGTCATTATTTTTACTTTTTTTGAAATTGACCAGAGAGACAGAGAGAGAAGGAAAGTGAGAGAGCCAGCTACCAGGACTTGAACTGCAGTCACCCATGTGGGAGTCCAGCCCTTAATCATCATGCCACCTGCTGGCCTCTGTTGGCTTATATTTCTATGGGCTCCCCTTCACATAGTAAGATCACTGAGAAGAATTACGTATTTTTCAGGACCCAGGAACGGTTTCAGATTTCTGAGTTCCCTTAATAGCAGAAACATGGAGCTTGTTCTCCCTCAGTACAGCTGTCTAGTACTGAAATGATTTAGGTTGATACTTGTACTTCCTGAGGTCTCCCTGTGTCTGTTATCCTCTTTACTTTCAAGAAGAGCTATGGACCTGGTGAACAGAAATTGAGGGTAGAAAAAGAAGCCTTGCCTTCATCTGTATCCTAAAGACTAGACACACATATTCTCTTAAATCTTCTCGACTCTTAGTTTCTTTCTATAGCTCTTAATTTTTTGTGGGGGATGGGGAGGAATTAAGTTGTTCTGTCGTATAGTTTCTTCTTTAATAGCTCTATTCACAGTCACAAAAATATTGACCTTAAACTCAGTCATGGAACATCATCTCGTTTCTTAACACTTGCCAGGAGTAAGAAGGTGTGTGTCCGCTACCACCTTATTTGGAATCTGTACCAGACTGGAAGCCGTCAAAGGGATGCCAGGAGACTCTTCCATCCCTGGAAGATTCCACAATCAGTTGGGTGGACTTAGGATGGAAAGGACCCTCAGGTTATGGTTTCCCAGCTCTTGCTCAACATAAATTATGGGGCTTTTCTTTGCCCCAGGCTTCGTTCTTGGCACTAGGGATGCAGTGGTAAAGAAAACAAATACCTTGGCCTTGAAGCGTTCACATTTTAGCCAGTTAGCATTCCTCCCTGGGATCTTTCTGTCCTGAAGCCAAGTCGTTTTTCTCTCTGTGTTCTAGTTTCTTTCCGTTTTATAAGCAAGGTGCCAGGTCTCTACTGGCACCTCCAGACATCTCCTTATTCGAATAGAGAATGGATTTGGGCATGGCCATCCCCCTCTGAGGGGTGATTTCTCACTTTCCTTCTTTCTGTCTCTCTCGATAGTAAGTGCACATGCCCTGGAGCAAAAACATTAAATAAATAAATAAATAAGATAAAATTAAAGCTGTAGAGGCAGCAGGACTTAAGGTTTTTAAATGACTACAAATATACTAGTAAGCAGGAGATACAGTATGACTTCTAAAACCTGTAAAACACACGGAACTATTTTATGAAATTCTAGCCTTCTTTTTCATAGGAGTCTATTATGTTCCACCCTGGTCAGGCAAGGGCTAGAGTGTTCCTTTGTGCTAAGCGTCACACACTACAAAGAGAAAACGGCACACGAGGATGTCCGTAAGCAATTAACCAGGGAATACAGATCTGGAAACAATTCCCTGCTCCTCTGCCTTCAAAAATTTGAAGAATTGAAAACAGCGTACTTTGCATGTCTTTGGAAGATCGTGGTGTAAAATACAGGGACTGGGCTTAAAATTCCTACCAAGCTTTAGCATTAAAAGAGCCCTTCCCTTCGAGGACATACAGTCAAACATCTCATTTCCAAATTAAGAAACCGAGGGCTAGAACACTTGCGTCGCAGCTACCCATGCAGGTCTGCAACTCCCGTCGGTGTCTCTGGTGTCGTAAACCACTGTTGGTTTCACCATACCAAAAGGCCTGAATCTGGGTTGACCAAGAGAGCACTCCACAAGTGCTGAGTACCTGAAACGTGCCTCGCATTGAGTTACAAACTGAGAATAAGAACATAAATAAGGTGCATCTATTCATGCATTGCTGGCACTTACTTCTTTACAACGAGCAACAGTCATGAAACAACAGTCTCCACCAGCGTGGTACGTGCCATGACGGAATATCTACCAAGAGGGCAGGAGGTTGGATTAGGTCTCTTCTAAAAGTTCCTCCTACTTTAAGGTTTTGTGAGTCTTGGGACCAGCAGTTAGCATAATGGCTATGTCGCTGGACTCCCACGTAGTCAACCGCGGTTCACGTCCCGGACCCGGTGGCTTAAAACTCACGCTGGGTGCGTGTGCGTGCGTACCCAAAATCCCGAGAGGAGAATGGAGGAGAAGGGATTGCGGTGTGGCCATCCCCCCCCGGGGGGTGATTTCTCGCTTTCTGTCTCTCTGTCTCTCTGTCTGTCTGGCGAGCGCATGCACTCTATAGCAAAAAAACTCTTAAAAAATATTTTATGAGTCTGCTTTATGTAAACTACCTTGGAATCAAGACCTGGTTTAACCTGAAACTTCTTTGAATCCTAGATAGAACAATTATAGAACATTTGCTCTCATATATTTGGTCATTGGGACATATTTTTCTGTTTTTCTATGCAAAAATGTGTCACGACTTTTTCGAAGACTCAGTATAAAGAATGGAGCATAAATGAGTGTAACTCCTTACCAAGACATTTGACGATGTGTTTATAAAGCCATAAAAATGGTCCCACCACATTGACCTAGAAACTAAACTTCTGAGCATCTTACCTAAGAAAAAAATCAAATCTCTACATGTCTTAGTCCATTACTGATTGCTTACAGAAATGCCTGAGGCTGGGTGACTTACAAGAAGAGAAGTTTATTGACTCCCAATTCCGTTCCTTAGGAAGTCCAAAGGCATGTGGTTGGCATTAGCTAACTACAACACAGCCACAGAGGCAGAGAAGATGGCAGGTACATCTAGAGCCGAGGAGCAAGCTGTGAGCAGCTCTTTTTTATAACAGCTCACTCTCAGGAGAACTATCCTCTTCTCAAAAGAGTTAGAACTCAGTCTCTCACAAGATAGCATTACTAGGGCCAGCAGGTGGCATGGTGGTTAAGGCCTCTGTACTACCACATGGCTGACTGAGGTTCAAGACCTGGACCTGGTGGCTTGCTTTCTCACTTCCCCTCTCTCTCTCTCTCTTGCTTTGTCCCTTTCTGGTCAAAATTAAATAAATAAATAAAGCTAAATAAAATGATTTTTAAAAATAAACAAAAAATAAGATAGCATTACTATCAATACTTTCATAAGGCTAGAACCTTCTTAAGCTGATTTCTATAATCTATTACTGCCCACTAGGTCTTACCACCTCCCAAGACCATTGCATTGGGGACCAAATTCCAAAACATGAACTTTTGGGAGACAAAACATTATCCAAACCATGACACCAAGTTAACAGTGATTTCCACTGTATTATTGTACTATTGTTATGTGTGATATTAAGGAAAATGGTATCCTAATGTTCAAAAATATGGAAATAGTTAAGTAAATCATAAGTCCACTTAGTGGAACATTATATGTCCATGAGAATAAAAATGAAGGGTCAGTAGGTGGAGAAGTGGTTAAGATGCTGGACTCCCCTATGGCCAATGGCAGTTCGAGTCCCAGACCTGGTGGCTTGAAAATCATGCCATGCAATGCACATGCCTACCCAAAATCCTAAGAGAATAGAGAATGGATTTGGGCATGGCCATCCCCCTCTGAGGGGTGATTTCTCACTTTCTTTCTTTCTGTCTCTCTCTAGTAAATGCACATGCCCTGGGGCAAAAACATTAAATAAATAAATAAGATAAAATTAAGCTTCTGATCCTATGATACTAAAGATCTGAAGTGATTACAGCACCGAATGTGTAATGAGAAATGACTCTGGGTCATACAGACTTGAGTTTGTTTTCTGACTCTGCACCTGGCTGTGGCCCTATGTGAATTACTTTACCCCTCAAAGCCTCAATTTGGTTATCTCTAAAATGGAAGTAATTAGACTGTATATATTATTGGGGTTGTTACAAAGATTAAATAATGACTGTAAAGTGCTCAGTATTTTGCTAACAGATACTTAAAAGACGTCTATTACTTTATTGTTATATAATGTTATATGATAAGTAGTCCTTTGATTGGTGTTATAGTAGGCTGAATAATTACCCCACAGACATGCCCACGTCCTAATCCCTAGACCCGTGAATATATTACCTTCAATGGCAAAGGGGACTCTGCTGATGTGATTAAGATAAGGATCTTGAAATACAAAGATTATCCTGAGGTATCTGGCTGGGTCTGATGTAATCAAGCTTCCTTCACATAAGAGAACCCCTCCTGAATGTAGTCAAAGGAGACAGAACTATGGATGATGGCCAGAAGGTGCAATGTTACTGGCTTTAAAGACAGAGGAGGATCAGGAGCCAAGGAATGTAGGTCATCTCTAGAAACTACAAAAGGCAAAGAATGGATTCTCCCTTGTAGCCTACAGAAAGGGACAGCCCTGCCAACGTCATGATTTTCAGCTTAGAAGACCCATGACAAACTTCTAACTAACAAAATTGCAAGATAATAAATTTGCAATCTGTTAAACCACCACATTTGTGGTGCTTTGTTATAGCAGCAGTAGAAAAGTAAATATATTATGTTATATATAATTATAATAGCTTCATTAACACTATCACTAATCAGCACTGAGTATTTACAAAATACGTACATTGTATGAAGTCCACAAAGATGTGTGTGACATTGTCTCTACTCTTAGGTAGTTCATACAGTTTAATTAATAATACTATAGTATTTTTAGTCTTCTGAGTTATTCTTATGTGATGGCATTTCTTAAAAATAAACAAACTTTTGGGGTCAGCAGGTAGCGCCATGGTTAGGGGCACTGGACTTCCACACGGCCCACCATGGTTCGAATCCTAGACCTGGTAGCTTGCTTTCTCACTGTCTCTCTCTCTTGCTATCTCTCTCTCTCTCTCGCTCTGTGTCCCTCTCTGATCAAATTAAGATAAGTGAATAAATAAAGTAAAAATAAATAAATAAATGTTTAAGAATATAAATCTGTTACTATCTAAGAGTTGGGGTTAATGTTTGTTTAAAG